AAGCTTGTGTGTTACGTGGAGGGGGTATGACAGTGTGGGCGGGCGGAAGGGGCGTCGCGGGCAGATGGGCCGGGGTGAGAGGCCCCTGATAGGTAGGCATCCCCCCTTACTCGCTGTGAGGCGTCGGTTATGGACGCCTGGAGAGTATGCAGCCAAGCCAGCGCCGGTGTGGAGGTGATAGTGTGACTGTGGAGTGGGTCAGAGTGTGGGGCGTAAGTTCAGTTCATTCAAAAAATGGGGGAAGAGGAAGGAAATGGGCGGGAAGGTGGCCGGCTAACAGAATGGATGAGGAGGTCGCCTTCGTGTGGTCAAGCGAGCGGGCGGCCCGGTGCGTGCGCGGCGCGGCTGGGCCTGGGGTCAGCTGCGCGCGCTCACACACACACACACACACACAGAGCGGAAGACGGTTCCCCCTCCGGAGGTGTCAGTTAATAAGCAAATGAGGAGGCTCGGCCACTAGGCGCGGCGCGGCGCGTGCGACGCGTGTCGTCTATTCCCTGTCTGCTATGAGTTCGTAGGTAGGCCAGGTGGTCTCCAGTGAGTGGGGGAGGTGGGAGGGAGGAGGGGTTAGAAGAGTGTCGGTATTAGCGAGATAGGGTTGCGAGGTCAGACCGGTGGTCAGTTCATTTCGCGGCGTCGGAAGGACAACAACGCGTTCTCTCCCAGTGTGTGTGTGTGTGTGTGTGTATGTTCACGTGCTCATCGCTCGCCCGCCGCGGCCGTTGTTTACGTACTGCTCGCCCACCTCTCGCCCACCGCTCATCTACCGCTCGCCCACCGGCCAATTAATTGTGCTAGTTGCATCAATTGTACGGATTAAAGTAAGTAAAAAAGTGACATTTTTTATATCATGAAGTCATATTATGAGCAAAAAAATAATGGCATTTTTTTACTTATAGTATGCCGCCCATCACTGCGGACCACTCCTTACCGCGAGGCTCTGAGTTCGAGCTAATAACCAAACGACTTCGTGATGTGATGCCTGTTCGACTACTCATGGAGAAGACCTTCGCTTTGAACAAGTCTCGTAGCAAAGTGTTAACTCTTGGCTTGCGTCTAGAAAGTCGGATGGAAGTGTGTGCTGTGTTGAGTAGCTCTCAGGGGCCAGGGGTTCGCCTTACTCAAAGTGAATTAACTGCGCTTCTCAACAGACGTTGGGTTTCTACTGTGTTGTCCCATTTTGCAAAGCCCAGCTATCCAGGCAAGAGTTACATTCTTGACGACATTGAATTTAGGTGTGTGTCTACGCAGCAAACAGAACCAGCTCTTCGCATCGCTCGTAAGAATGAGGATCGCTTGGGATTTTTGCTTCTTGCTGAGATAAGTGTGAAGACTTTGTTTAACTTGGCCGATTATATCTTGTGCTACGTAGATACTTTGGTGCAACACTCTGTTCAATGTGAACAATGGGTCGTTGGGTGTGCACGTGAATTAAAGGCCATAAGCGACGAGAGTAAGATTTTAGTAGAGACTGAACGAGAGGCGGAAATTGTCATTGACATGTACACTCAGAAAATGACAGATTGTACTTTCTTAGATAAGGAAAAAGAGTTTCTGATGGATCTTGCTTACTTTTACAAGCCATACATGGCTCGGATGGTATATGACTATGTGAACGCACAGAAAAGTGTGAGTGATGTAACACCAATGGAAAGTGAATGACAATAAAGTGTGTGTCCCAGGATT